GAGAGAGAGAGAGAGAGAGAGAGAGAGAGAGAGAGAGAGAGAGAGAGAGAGAGAGAGAAGGGGGGGGACTGTGCCAATATGTCCATTATGTGACTCTGACACGTGCTACTTCATTTCTTCTTTGCCTTTTGCCTTCCTGGAAATGTTCCAAGATGCACGCCCGGCATTATGGCTCTCATGTCTACTCCCGACAAGTCCCCCATCCGAAGAGCAACTGCCAAGCAGATTGAATGCTGATTGTTTCATTCATACAATGCAAAACCTGCTTAACATCAGCGGCACTCCTATAGTTGGAGGTGCCTTCCAACAACTTCCCCGGGCCAATCATCACTGACATCATCGGAGCCCACCAAACTGAGACTCATCCACACGCGCATGCACTTGCACACATAGCGTAAAAAATCAACAAGTAAGCACGGGGCATACATGGAAGATCGCTTGATCACAAACATATCCAGAGAACACAGCACACAAAGTCAGATTCTGAATCTTTACCAAAAACATCAACGGGACAACGGACTGCATTTTCTCAGAAAAGTGCAGAGTTCTTGCACAGCACAAAACAAAAACGATGCTGCAAAGGTAACGGCTCCCCAAACAAAACACGCAAAGATAAAGAAAGAAGAATGTTCGGTGGTATTCCCTGCTATTTTCTTGCACGCAGGTTTTTGTCTGCTCTCAGGCTCTTCTTTTTCTTATTGTGAAAGAAGCGTCATATGATAGGGCAGTTCCTTGTGCATTTTCTTTCTTTTGTGCTTTTTTCTTTTTCTGTTTTTGTGGGCGAAACGGCAACGGGTCATCTAGTATGAATCTGTATGATTGAAAATTGTAGGTTGGCAATTCTGAATTTTGTTGTTTATAAATTCATCCAAAAAAGATGTTGTGGAGTATCATTCCAGCCAAATGTCGTTTAGTTACGTTCGACGTGGTTTGGGTCTCTTTTCAAGGTTTCTTTTTCTTTTTTTGCTCTGGATTTTCTGGGAAATGAGTACAATGCGGAAGTGGACGATGGGGGCGTGGAAGGTCAGCGATAATTTTAACGACTCTGTGAATTGAATGCAGAGAAAAGAGGCATTGACCGCCTATTTAACTGTCTGCGTGTTTGGAATCTAAAAGGTATGCTATCCACGACTGTGGATCTGTCTGTCTGTCTGTGGACATGTGCATGTGCTTGGTCATTTGCACAAATTTTGGAAGGGAGGTAAAGGGTTCGTACATGGGTTGTGATAATTTGTGCAGGTAGTTGCTCTGGTGTGCAACTTCCCTCGGCCTCTTGCAGCATCACCGTCACTCTTGGGACATGGTGAGCTGGAGACGCTGTTTCACGAGTTTGGCCACGCTCTGCATTCTCTCCTGTCACGCACAGTAAGTTTAGCTCGTTATCGCGCTCAATATTTTGTTTTGTTATGACCTGCAAAACCACAGACTGAGAACTGTGCTGATTTCTGAGTTTTTTGCTGAGATTCCTGCAGTTTGCTGAGATTTCTAAGTCTGTGTATGAGTGGGTTTGCTGGGAATGCCTGAGTGCTTGAGTGTGTGTCTCCTGCCAGGGCACTTCTGTGTTTGAGAGGCCTGCAGGGTCAGTACTTACCTGTGGCCGTGACTTTGAGGGTTGCAGCGAGGGAAAACACTCAAGTAGTGGGTAGCAGGCCCATGATGCTTAGGGCAGCAGGGAAAAAACACTCAAGTAGCACTCAAGTAACGGTAGGCCTAGTGGAAGACGACAAAAAGTTTGTCTTTGTAGAGGCCCAGTAGCGGCAGGCCTAGGTCTAGGCGGGTACCAGTCCAATACCAATCCAAGTAGCCTGAGTCTAGGGGCTGTCTGGACGATATCGGAGCCTTAGTCTAGGGGCTGTCTGGACAATATCGGAGCCTGCAATGATGTTTCCCTCCGAAAGGGAGAATGTACTGGTAGCTTGGAGGCCGCGTGTGGATGGTGGAGGCCGTGGGGCACACTCCAGCAACCGGCCGTGAGGCTGTTTGCCCACTATATCTCCTGGAGGATCGACTTGCTCTCATTTGCATTATGCAAGTTTAGGCGCCATGCTCCTTGAGTGGGCGCTGGTTCTCAAAGCGCTGCTGGGGAGGAAGAAGGAGAGCTGGGTGCTCTGCCTGGCATGGTGAGCAGCCCAACTTGAGGAGGATGAAGAAGGGGCCCAAGGAGGAGATTGCTGGGGTACTCACCTGACTATGGTGGACGCCATCTTCATCACCTTGTTAGGCGCTGCCTCTGGAAGACCCCAGTTGGGGTAGCGTTGTACCAAGAAGGCTTCAACGCAGAGTCAGGCATGGTGGCCTGAAGAGCAGCGACCATAGCTGCTTTGCGTTGTCTTTTGAATGTCAAGGCAAGGCCCTTAGTACTCCGACATAGCCTAGGCCTGTGCGGAGAAGAAGGAGAGGGAGCCATGGCTATGGTGGACCTCTTGTTGTGCTGGCAGTAAGAGGGAACTTCGGGTATTGATTCTGGCTCAACCATTAATTATTATTATTATTATTTGGAACAAGTGAACCCGCCGCAGCGAAGCCGTGGCCCAGCACCAGCCCCACCCCAGGCACGGCCATTATCTGGCCCGGGCGACATTGAGGGTGTTTGTTTTAGAACACGAGGGACGTGCATCATTCAGGGGGGTTTTAGCCAAGGCATCAGCATGCTGTCGGATCCTTTGTAAGTCAGAACTATTTTATTGTGGTCGCCGCTGGATTCGAACCCACTTTTGCAATTGAACAGTTTCATGTGTGCATCAACTGAGCAGCCTGCCAATGTGCAAAATGAGAAGGAATCTTCCGCAAGAACATAGGAATATACACTGCGACGGACAGATACATTGAAAAGAAACCCCGGTGATGGACTACCGGTGATGGACTAAGGAGCTGTCAGATGCAAATGTCGCCGCGCGTGCGCGATTGTGACGATATATATTGTTCCCTGTTCTTTGGGATAATCCTTCTACGCTGGCTCATGCATGTGTCAGTTGCTTGGTGACATCTTTTTGTGTAGATACTGTTGGTCTATCGGTGTAAGGCTCTTGGCATTGCTGCTGGTTGCACACTTATGCTGATTGCACACTCATCGGGAGACGCAGTTTCACATTTACACCAAGCTCCCTCTTTGACAATGTTGCTGACTGTGAACAGCAAACAAAAAGGACGACGGCAGGAATCCCGACCTGAGCCATCGGGCCTAAAGTCCTGTCACCTCATGCACCCACCTCCTTTCTTTGGATTGAAAAGTTGACA